GGGAGATTGAGCGTTTGAAACAACTTCTATTAGTGGTGCTTTTCATATGCAAGTCGGATGCACCTATTGCGCTCTTTGTTGGCCTTGTGCACCTGCTACACGTTCTGAAGACCCCCAACATTCCCGACAAGGCCATCGGCACCTACCAGACAGAGTGAGTAATGCAACGTGATGTGATGTTTAGGTACTCATCATCATTGACTTATTGTCGTGCTTTTCATTATGGCAGATATGGGTTTCGGGAGATGACCGAAGCCATGGTGCAGCACCTGAAGGCCCGTCAGATGCGATACATCCAAGAGTCGCCCTTTCTCGGGATTCAGCTCGACGAGTCGACTGATCGGAGGAAGGGCAAGCATCTCATCGTCTACCTAACCTTCATGAAGGAGGAGAAGGCGGTGACCGAGCTTTTCGGGCACCTAACCGTGGAGAAGGGCGACGCTTCATCTCTGCTCGCCGTCTTGCTGGCGCATCTGGACTGCAACGGGGTTGACATGCACAAGATCTCCGGCATCAGCACGGATGGCGCGAACGTCATGCTGGGCAGTCAGAATGGGCTGGTGGTTCAGCTGAAGATGCGAGTTCCGCATCTTGTCGCGTGTCATTGCCTTGCTCACCGGTGAGGTATTTTGCACTTCAAATTTTGCAGTATTGTTGTCAGATACATCTCCCCCTACTCGCTTGGTTTTTTTTTCCATCATCTAACAGAGAGGCTCTCGCAGCCAAGGATGCCGCGACGAACATCCCCGCCTTCAACATCGTCGACCAAGGGATCCGCGCCATCGCGACCCTCATTGGCGGAAGCTGCGTCGTCCACCAGAGGTTCCACGAGCTGCAAACCGTGATTCACGCCACGAACTTGGAGATGCAGGGGATTTTCGATGTTCGCTGGCTGTCGCGGGGCGATGCTGTTTCGAGACTTGTCGCTGTTCTGCCGGCTGCCATAGTGCTGCTCCACGAGAAAGACAGCACGACGTATCACCTGGTTACGAGCCTCAAATTTCATTTCTTTCTTTTTTTTCTCGCTGATGTCCTGAAGGAATTGAACGAGCTCAACAAGCGGTTTCAGCGACGATCGGTGAGCGTGTAATTAACGGTCGCCGATTTTGAAATTCGCTCTAGTCCCGAATGTCAGTGATTAACATTGTGTTTGTGCGTGATGTCGCAGGTGGACATCACCCGTGTCATGGGGCAGGTGCAAAACACCTGCGAGAAGTTGAACGCGCGCTATGTGGAGTACGGGGTGAACTTCGCGGAGGACAGCGAGCACCTCACTGCCTTCCTCGAAGCGCACTCCCATCCGTCCAAGCGGGTGGTCCAGGTGGAGGGGATGGATGGAGACGGCAACGCCGTCAAACACACCTTCAAGCTGCACGAGCTGGATGCGAAGAAGAAAGAGGATCCCTCGGGTGACGTCGAGTCATGCGTGTCCCTCGCCACCCTGTTTGCGAAGGAGGTGATCGGCAGGCTACAGTACCGCATGCGAAGCTTGAAGTCCCTCGTTGGGTCCAAGCTATTTCTGCCAGACGCCTATCCGGATGGCGTGAACAAGCGCGACCGTCTGTGCGCGGAGTGGTTCAGCTCCCTTCGCAAGATGTTCAAAACCGAGCAGTGCGCTCTGCCAGGTACGTGTTTTCAAATTCCGCGTTGTCCCTAATCCCTTGTTTGTGTAACGATCCGTCTACATAGTGGGATGCTAACTAGATGTGCTGTGTGCTTGCAGGAGTCAACTGGAAGAAGGCCGAGCGGGAGCTTCCACGTTTCACCCGCGTGATGGTGTCACAGTACAAGGATCAATCCTTCCACGTGGCACTTAAGAACATGCTCAGGAGCGGGGATTGGGAGTCTTCTTTCCCCAATCTGGTTCGACTTTGGGTGGCAGTGGCTGTTCTTCCGCTCAGCACTGTGGAGTGCGAGCGAGGGTTCAGTCGCCAAAACGTAATCAAGTCGTGGCTCAGGAACAACCTCTGCAATGCGCGACTCTCCGACCTCATGTGCATCTCCCTGCTTGACTACGAACCAGACTGGGACAACGTGGTGAAGCTGTGGCGCGGGGCAAAGAAGAGGCGCCCTGCCAAAGAAGTCAGTGGAGTGGCAACTGCGAAGCGCAGGGAGGCAGAGACGGAAGCGGCAGGGAGGCAGGGAGACAGGGAGGATCTAGCACCTAACACGACAGCTCAGAAAGCGCCGTCCAATGACGACGGAGAAGCCAAGAGGAAGAAAGCCAAAACTCACATAGTAGATAGCGACAGTGAGGATGAAGGAGTGGATGTGCGTGCAACTGTTACACTGTGTCAGAATGTTATTGTATACATCACTTTATAACTGCCTGCAATGTAGACTTAGTGTAGTTACCTTGCTTGTTAGGTGGTGCACCTTGCTTCACTTCTTTCATATTTGTACCCTTGAACCTATAGTGAAACCCTCATTCTCCTTCCACAACTTTCTCGACACTCTCCTCACCCTCGAACTTAACTACCAAGGCTCCTAAACTATGGCTCCTAAGCCAAACTCACGCTAGTATTTTAATATGGAATCAGAGCGACTACGCTCTTGGCCTGTGGGCCCCACGTGCTTCCGCTGCTTTCTTTTCTGTCGCGCGCCCCGTGGCGCGCGACACTTTTTTCTTCCCGCCACGCGCTCGGGGCGCGTGGCGGTTTTCCGCACGCCGTGCGCCCCGGACGCGCGGACGCCGCCCTTCTCGGCCCCTCACGGCCTCTTCGCGGCCCCGTCGCTGCTACTCTCACGGCCCCTCGCGCTACCCTCAGTGGCCCCGTCGCCACACTTCGCGGCCCTGTCGCCGCCCCATCTCGGCACCGTCGCCGCCTTTAGCGGCCCCGTTGCCGCCCCTAGCGGCCCCGTCGCCGCTCTTCGCGGCCCCGTTGCCGCCCCTAGCGGCTCCGTTGCCGCCCCTTGTGGCCCTGTCACCTGCTCGTCGCGGCGCACCCCCCCCTGGCCGCCGCCTCTGCCTCCCTTGCGCCCGTGCCTGCTTTGCAGCAGCGCGCGGGCCTGCCTTGCAACAGCAGCCGCCCCTGGAGCAGCCACCCCAGCAGCAGCCGCCCCAGCAGCAGCCGCCCCTGGAGCAGCCGCCGCTGCAGCAGCCGCCCCTGGAGCCGCCGCCCCTGGAGCAGCCGTCAATGCAGCAGCCGCCCCTGGAGCCGCCACTGCAGCAGCAGCCCCTGGAGCAGCCGCCCCAGCAGCAGCCGCCCCTGGAGCAACCGCCGCTGCAGCAGCCGCCCCTGGAGCAGCCGTCACTGCAGCAGCCGCCCCTGGAGCCGCCACTGCAGCAGCAGCCCCTGGAGCAGCCGCCCCAGCAGCCGCTACCCCTGCAGCAGCCGCCCCTGGAGCGGCCGCCCCTGCAGCAGCCGCCCCTGGAGCAGCCCTCAACCGCAGCAGCCGCCCCTGGAGCAGCCCGCACCTGCAGCAGCCGCCCCTGGAGCAGCCAGCAACTGCAGCAGCCGCCCCTGGAGCAGCCCGCACCTGCAGCGGCCGCCCCTGGAGCAGCCCGCACCTGCAGCCCATCCCGTTCCCCCCCCCCCCCCCCCCCCACCCCCCCGTGCATTCCGTGGTGCTGGGGGTGTGGGGTGCCGAGCATGGGGGTGGCGGGTGTGGGGGTGGCGGTTCTGTGTTCCTCCCCTTGCTCCTCCTCCTCCCTCGTCTCCCACTGCTGCAGCTGTCGCTGAGGGGGGTGGGTGTGTGGGAGCCTAGGGTTTAGGGTTTAAGGGGGGTGCTGTGGGAGTGGAGCTAGGGTTTGAACAGGGAGTGTGTGAGATGGGAGTGGGGCAGCTGGGGGAGGTTGTGTGAAGGTAGCTGTCGTGTCGCCTGCAGCGCCTGTAGTCCGTCGCCCTTGCTTCGGTAGCCAGTGAGCCTGTTGCACCAGTCGCCAGTGGGTCCGTTGCTCCTGCCACTCGTCTATAGCCGCGGAGCCAGTCACTCCAGTAGTCCGTCGCCCTTGCTTCGGTAGCCACTGAGTCAGCCGCTCCTGTGCCCGTGCCTCTGCAGCTTCAGTCGTTGCCTCGCATCTTCTCTTCCTCCACAGTCTCTCCTCCTCATTTGCCCTCTCTGTCTGCTGCGCTCTACTTGGTGTACCCCTTCCGGGGGTGTTTCTGCACATGGTTCTTCACTGCAGGCAGTTAGGGGGTGTGTCAGAATGTTATTGTATACATCACTTTATAACTGCCTGCAATGTAGACTTAGTGTAGTTACCTTGCTTGTTAGGTGGTGCACCTTGCTTCACTTCTTTCATATTTGTACCCTTGAACCTATAGTGAAACCCTCATTCTCCTTCCACAACTTTCTCGACACTCTCCTCACCCTCGAACTTAACTACCAAGGCTCCTAAACTATGGCTCCTAAGCCAAACTCACGCTAGTATTTTAATACACTGAGTGACAATGAGGCATCTGACTCTGACTCAGATAGCTAGATAGTTATTCTTGGTATGTTTTCTTTGTAGAGAATAGCTGAGTAGTAGTTGTAGTTACAATAGGGACGGGTTACAAAATCTGATTTTTAAGCCAAGTAATGTTAGAATTTCTGATGCGAAAGACAGGGGCGTGAAAATTTTCTGACCAGTCAGACGGGCCCGAAGGGCCCGTCTGACGCCTCAGGGGGGTTCAGAGACTAGCGAGGGCCCTGGCCTGGAAGAGTTGTCCCTCGCTGTCCGATTTGCGATGAGTGTGATGCTGAAGGATCCGACGGTGGGAGATGCACCTGGGAAAGCGTGGCACGAGGAAGGAAGAACTCAGAGAGAGAGCAGTTTTTCTCCGCACCTTCATGCATTCCCACAATCATATGTGCATTGCCGCATTCCCAAACCTACACATAACTTCCATATGTGCATACATGCACTGCCATCAGCCGTTCAGCCAAGTTGGCAGCGCAAGAAAGGTGAAGCAATGAGTGGGGCGAGTGGGGAGAGTCGAGAGTGGGGCGAATGGGAAGAGTAGGGAGAGGAAAGAGTGGAGAGAGTAGAACGAGCATGTGTCAAACAATCTCACCTGCAACACACTTGGTCGCGGTCAGCCCATAGCCTTGAGGGCACGTGCAGTAAGGCACCTGCGCCGCGCTGTTGTATTCCGAAGGCACGGTCTTGCAGAAGGCTCCAGTGGGACAGGTGCCACAGAGTGAGTCTGAAGGGGGGGGGTGGAGATGGGTGCAGTGCGGTATGTCAGTGCAAGGGTAGTGGGGGCAGTAAGGCACCTGCACCGCATTGTTGTACTCCGATGGCACGGTCTTGCAGAAGGCTCCAGTGGGACAGGTGCCACAGAGTGAGTCTGAGGGGTGGGGTTGGGTGCAGTGCGGTATGTGAATGCAATGTTAGTGGGGGATTGAGGTTGGGGAACACACGTGGTTCCAGAGGGGCAGGTGTCACACAGAGTGAGTCTGAGGGGTGGGCATGGGTGCAGTGCGGTATGTGAATGCAATGTTAGCGGGGGATTGAGGCTGGGGAACACAGGTGGTTCCAGAGAAGCAGGTCTTACAGAGCGAGTCTGAGGGGTGGGGATGGGTGCAGTGCGGTATGTGAATGCAATGTTAGCGGGGGATTGAGGCTGGGGAACACAGGTGGTTCCAGAGAAGCAGGTCTTACAGAGCGAGTCTGAGGGGTGGGGATGGGTGCAGTGCGGTATGTGAATGCAATGTTAGCGGGGGATTGAGGCTGGGGAACATAGGTGGTTCCAGAGAAGCAGGTCTTACAGAGCGAGTCTGAGGGGTGGGGATGGGTGCAGTGCGGTATGTGAATGCAATGTTAATGAGATTGAGGCTGGTAACACACGTGGTTTCAGAGAAGCAGGTGCCACAGAGTGAGTCTGAAGAACACAGCAAGCAAGGAATTAAATCATCTCACAGGCAGAGCAGGAAGGAACTCACCCCACTTGCAGTAGCGCTCTCCGTTTCCATCCACCTCACATTTGCCACCCGCCGGCTCACAGCCCAGCGCCGTACAGGCAGGATCTGCAGCAGAGGCGCAAGTGAAGGGGCAACAGGCAAAGATACGTTAATGATTGTAGACGAAATAAAAGGAATCAGCATCAGAACGAGGCATCTGCATCACAAAGTCAAGTTGGGGTTTTGGTGGACTGAAAGACGCCATAAGGGCAGTCGAAGGAAAAAAATCTTTCGCCACAAAGGAAGGCAACAAATCACACCCCTTTGAACCACCCTTCCGAATCACACGAAGACCCTTCTAGGGAGGCCCTTTTTAGGGGGGCCCTTTTTAGGGGGGAAGCAATGAACGCACCGGCATTTGGCTGTGGCTGCTGCTGCGAAACTTCCTTCAGGGGCGGCTGCTGCTGGGAATCTTCCTTCGGGGGCAGCTGCTGCTGTGAATCTTCCTTCGGGGGCGGCTGCTGCTGCGAATCTTCCTTCGGGGGCGGCTGCTGCTGGGAATCTTCCTTCGGGGGCGGCTGCTGCTGCGAACCTTCCTTTGGGGGCGGCTGCTACTGCGAACCTTCCTTCGGGGGCGGCTGCTGCTGCGAATCTTCCTTCGGGGGCGGCTGCTGCTGTGAATCTTCCTTCGGGGGGGGCTGCTGCTGTGAATCTTCCTTCGAGGGGGGCTGCTGCTGCGAATCTTCCTTCGGGGGCGGCTGCTGCGGCGAATCTCCCTTCTGTTGTTGCTCAGGGACAGCGCAGAAAACAGATGCCACGGAAGCCCCCTTTCGAAGCTGCTTCTTTGTGCTTGGGAACCTGAAGGCCGTGGCAAGTGGAAGCACAAGAGATGACAGCATGGTTATTATTCCCTCCGCTCCCTTTCCCTCCCTGCCCCTCCCTGCCCCTCCCTCCCTCACACATTCAGACGCCGCTCAGGCGCCACTCGTGCCCTCTCGCTATGCCTCACACACGGCCACACCAACCAAACTCACACCCACACATGGTTCAACACTCACATGCCACCGCTGACACAGATCACCCTTTACTCACTTGGCCGCAGCAGTGTTCGGGTTGAACACGCTGTCAATCTCCGTGCGCTGGCATGGTTCCATCCCAAACACCATCCAACACCACACAACACCACACAACACCACACAACACCACACAACACTCACACACCCACCACCACTCACTTGATCGCAGTAACAGTCCCCGGGTTGACCGTGCTATCAATCTCCGTGCCTTGGCAGCCGTCCTTCACATAAAACTTGACCTGTGAGCACGCGACACCTGTCGCCTTGCCGCCCGAATTCGCTTTGCTCGACCCCTTAGGGCCGTTCCACCACACCTGCACGTTCCTCTGCTTTGTGGCCTTCTTGGGCACGCTCACGCAGCGCTGCTTGCTGAAGCTCAGCTGCGCAGGTCCCAATACCACCGTTGTGGTAACGGGCAGATCAGACACCCCACTGGCGCTGCTGGGCTTGCTGTCACCGGTGGTTTTCAGCATGCTACGGCGTGCCGTGCGGTGAGCCATGCTTTTCACCGTGTCATCCCCATACGCTGCCGCCATCATCTGAACTGCTGCAGAGGTCAAGGGAGGATGTGCGAAGAGAGGAGAGAGCTCAAAGTAAAAACGAGGCGGAAAAGAGAAGCGAGCAGTAAGGAGGTAACAGGGAGAAGGGCACGTTTTAAAGAGCTTACGAATCAGCGGCAAGGGGCTCACGCCAGTCAAATATCTTGCAGCAATGAGAGAGCAGCAGACTGACCGCAGATGAAGACAGAGGCGAGCAGCAGGAGGCCGGCAGGAGAGGCGCGCATCGACCCCATGACGATGACGGCGGGGGTCACGCGGGCAACGCGGCGGAAGAGGGAGATCTTGTGCGGTGACGTGTGGTTCACGCCGGTGTAGAGTGCGGAATGTAGGTTAAGTGGGTAGAATGAGGGTACTAGGCCAACGCGAGGAGAGTTCAATGCAAGAACAGAACCGGAAGGCGAATGGTGGTAGAATCAAAGCGAGGGAATAACGGCAGACTTGCTTCGAGATGTCAAATTCATGTTGCGGATTACGATCTTGAGCCAAGCGTGATGGCCGCAGCGCCATGGCGATCCTAGGAGCTCAGTCCGTGCTTAGCTCAAGTCAATCGCTGGAAAAGATAATAATGTGATCTTTAGGAACGCGATATGTGCTTAGCTAGCGTTAAATGCGGGGATGACTTGCTAATCTGAATCCAGGAACGCGATCCAAGCGACGGGTCGCTGAAAATGGACGAAACAGACGAGCGTTCGCGAACCAATGGCGCAACGCAGAGGCTGGCAGCAAGGCCTTTTCAGATTGCCGCGTCCAATCAAGTTAGCGTGGGAATAATACACGCGAGAAGAGCAGTTGCATTATACTTGCGTCGCGAGCGAGGAGCAGTGTGCGACTACTCAGGATTGTTGCAATATGAAATTTTTTGAAAGTGTGTAACACTTTCTAAAAATACGTATTGTGAAAGTGCAGCTGTCTGTATCGCAGCAAGGCAATGGCGAATTACAATTCGCCGAGTACATAACGAGGGTTGGAGGCCATTTGGCCTCCACCCACGTCTTCATTTGGAACTTGCAGTTCCACTCCACTCTCGTCCAACTACTCAGGTGACATTTCTCTCTCGATTTCTGTTGACACTAGAACCTCGCATAGTAGGCACTAATTTCTGATAAGTTGTTTTTAGTTATTTATCACGTTTAAGCCACGCGATTTCACGTCGACGGCGAGAGTTGCGACTACACCCGCGGGCAAGAAATCGGCGCCAAACCCGCATCAAATGAGGGCGCGACCCAGGGCGAACCCGCCACTAGCGAGCCTAAGGCGAACTCGCCCCTGGCGCACCTGGCGGCACCATCGTCAGTCGCGCGACTGACGCAAGCGTCAGACTCGCTGCTGACGCAATCGCCATGGGCTCGAGCGACTGACGCAACCACCAGGGGCGCGGCTGACGCAATCGCCAGGGCGCGACTGACGCGATCGCCAGGGCGCGACTGACGCAATCGCCAGTGGCGCTACTGACGCAATCGCCAGTGGCGCTACTGACGCAATCGCCAGAGACCCGCTTGTGATCCTGCATCAACTGGTTCGACACCAGCATTGCCACGCAACTAACTCTTTCTACCATCTCAAGCTAACTTGGTTTTTGTTGCAATTTGGATTCTCTTCCCGTTCATTCGATAAATCTTCTATTCAATAATTCCTCAGCCTTCAAATTTTCCTGGTGCAAGGCATAATTATTGGCAGGAGGCCAGGCATAACAATTTGGGGCAACGACGGCTACATCAACTCTTGGTGCACCCGCGCATGGTCCTTCACTTGAGGAAGGGGGCCGAGGGTCCCGTGCTGGCCAGAGGGCTGTTCCCCTAGGGGGGAAGGGGACCGAGGGTCCCGTGCTGGCCAGAGGGCCGTTCCCCAAGGGGGGAAGGGGACCGAGGGTCCCGTGCTGGCCAGAGGGCCGTTCCCCAAGGGGGGAAGGGGACCGAGGGTCCCGTGCTGGCCAGAGGGCCGTTCCCCAAGGGGGGAAGGGGATCGAGGGTCCCGTGCTGGCCAGAGGGCCGTTCCCCAAGGAGCGAAGGGGACCGAGGGTCCTGTGCTGGCCAGAGGGCCGTTCCCCAAGGGGGGAAGGGGACCGAGGGTCCCGTGCTGGCCAGAGGGCCGTTCCCCAAGGGGGGAAGGGGACCGAGGGTCCCGTGCTGGCCAGAGGGCCGTTCCCAAAGGGGGGAAGGGGACCGAGGGTCCCGTGCTGGCCAGAGGGCCGTTCCCCAAGGGGGGAAGGGGACCGAGGGTCCCGTGCTGGCCAGAGGGCCGTTCCCCAAGGGGGGAAGGGGACCGAGGGTCCCGTGCTGGCCAGAGGGCCGTTCCCCAAGGGGGGAAGGGGATCGAGGGTCCCGTGCTGGCCAGAGGGCCGTTCCCCAAGGAGGGAAGGGGACCGAGGGTCCTGTGCTGGCCAGAGGGCCGTTCCCCAAGGGGGGAAGGGGACCGAGGGTCCCGTGCTGGCCAGAGGGCCGTTCCCCAAGGGGGAAGGGGACCGAGGGTCCCGTGCTGGCCAGAGGGCCGTTCCCAAAGGGGGGAAGGGGACCGAGGGTCCCGTGCTGGCCAGAGGGCCGTTCCCCAAGGGGGGAAGGGGACCGAGGGTCCCGTGCTGGCCAGAGGGCCGTTCCCCAAGGGGGGAAGGGGACCGAGGGTCCCGTGCTGGCCAGAGGGCCGTTCCCCAAGGGGGGAAGGGGACCGAGGGTCCCGTGCTGGCCAGGGGCCAGAGGGCCCATCGTCGCCCTATGGAAGGTGGACAGTTCAGGTTGATATGGTTACAACATACGGCACATTGTTGTGGAGGTGTATCATATGGATATAGATTGCATAATGTATATTGCCATATCATGTAAAACAGAAAATTTGTCATAAATATCCCCTTTCATATGAGCCAACGACGCCAACAACTACGAGCAGGGACGCCCATATTAAGAGAACAAGCAACTTCGCACGAACAACGGTCCTAATCCTTTCAATATGGCACCAAGTTGGTGCCACCAACGCAACGCCACCTCTCTGCACTTCGACAACTTCGTCAGGCGCAGCCGCACTCAACAAGTCTCCAACGGCCCCAACTGCACATGTCTCAGAATACCCAATTGTAATGAAGCACGATGCCTTTGCAAGAACAGAAAGCAAGCTTTCTCAATATTCATAAAATAGGAAGAAGCAGGAATATTTGAGTGATTGACTGCTCCCTACTGTGTGACGCGTTTGGAAGGTTTGAACCTTGGGGTTGGAATTACAGTACCGGTACTAATGAAGGGTTCCAGCCGAGGTGACTGTTCGGGATGGTAACACAAAATTCTAAATAGCTTGTAATAGGAATACAGTCAACGTTGGTGAGACGGGAGAACAGTTTAGTATGTAGCATGAAAGTGTGACATGAAGTTATTTTTCGTACATTACCCCCCCTCATGAAAAGTTAAGTACGTGTAGTGCATACATTACCCCTACATGTAGCTGTTTTTTATATGATGGTGGTGTGTGTAACACTGGTAACTTGTTACAACTCTGTACGTAACACACTGTACTGTGCTCTTGCTATGGAAAGAATGGCGCACCACTAGTCACCCTCATGGCCATTAACTAAAGAGGCTTCAATTAGATGCAACAGAGAGTACAGTTTCAACAGTTTCATATGCTATGTACAGCTCTAGAAGCGCTCCTGCAAAGGGATGGCAAGAAATATGATTCTGCACTGAATTTCCATTGAGTGGAGAGAAGAAAGGTCGCCCTTAAATGGAGAGAAGGGTATCATAGAGCGGAAAGGAGAAGCCATCCCCATTACCCTACTCAGTGCACCAAATTGAGCGAACAGTAATAGCTGCTGGGACGTCCCTGGACGATGGTAACAAGGGGAGGACAACGAGGATAAGATGACTCAGATCAGACATGTACCACCTTTCATGATCGGTGCATAAAAGGAAGGGGAAAAGCTGTGCAACCGCGCGGGTGGAAGATGATTAAATAACTCACGGTTCAAAATATGCAACAAACGGCGGCGGGGTTGCAAAGGGGCCTCCACGGACAGGATCGTCTTCACAGTTATCAGTTGAGAAATACTCGATACTGGCACATTTCGGAGCATCATCAGTGTTTTCAACACTGTATATTGTCCTGTACTGGCCAGCTACTGCAACTGGGAGTTGAGTGCAGTCACTCAGGTTGAGGCGTAAGGTGTAGGGCTGGGATGAACTGTCCTTGGCTGTTGGATTTGCGATTACAGTTATGCTGTATGAAGAGACCTCGGAAGCCCAACCTGAAAAAGAGGGGCAAAAAAGGAGGGACTCTCAGCGCAATGTTCGACTTTTGAGACGCCTAAAAAACACCCTCATTTCACGTGGCCTCAAAAGTCGCGATGAGTGTGATGCTGTACAATTAGACCTCGGAAGCTCCACCTGAAAAGGAGAGGGAGAGGAGTGTGTGGGTTCTTTTTCTGAGCGAGAAATGTGAGGCAAAGAGTGTGGCGAGTGGGGAGAGTGGAGAGCGGAATGAACAGGGAGAGGAGATGACGGAGAGAGCAGAACGAGCGAGTACATATCAACCATCTCACCCGCAACACACCTGGTCTCAGTTATCCCAGAGCCTTGAGCCCACGTGCAGTAAGGCGAGTGAGGAGAGAGTGGAGACTCACCCGCAACACACTTGGTCTCGGTTATCCCAGAGCCTTGAGGGCATGCGCAGTAAGGCACCGGCACCGACGGGTAGTACTTGGCAGGCACGGTCTTGCAGGTGGCTCCAGCGGGGCAGATGCCACAGGGTGAGTCTGAAAAACGGGATGGAGATGGGTGTAGTGTGGTATGTGAGTGCAATAGTACTGGAGGTTTGAAGCACCTGCACCGCACTGTTGTACTTGGCAGGCACGGTCTTGCAGGTGGCTCCAGTGGGGCAGGCGCCACAGGGTGAGTCTGAAGGGGGGGTGGAGGTGGGTGCAGTGCGGTATGTCAGTGCAATGGTAGTGGGGACAGTAAGGCACCTGCACCGCACTGTTGTACAGGGCGACTCTGAAGGGGCGGGTAGAGATGGGTGCAGTGCGGTATGTGAGTGCAATTGCTAGTGGGGGTCGGAAGATTCAGAGGGGCAGGCGCCACAGGGTGAGGGTGAGTCTGAGGAAGGCAGAATGCAATGGAGAAGCAGGCAGGCAGAAAGACAAGCATGACACTTCCAACACGTCACAGGCAGCATTGGAGCAGAGAACAGAAAAGAGTTGACTGTGTGAAAGCCTGAAGCCAGGAAGGGAGGACCTCACTCACCCCACTTGCAGTAGCGCTCTCCGTTTTGATCCACCTCACATTTGCCACCAGGCCCACAGCCCAACGCGTCACACGCAGGGTCTGCAGCAGAGGCGAACACAACGGGGCGACAAGCAAAGTGAGGATTGTAGAACGCCATTCGGGCGATTGCCAAGGTTTCGCTCGACACAGAGAGAGGCACCACTCCAAATCAAGCAATGACAGCGTCATACACACCTTTCAGAAAATGATGTTAGTTTTGAGAATTCTCAAAAGTAACATCGACAATTGCCAAGGTTTCGCTTGCCACAGAGAGAGGCATCGCTCGAAATCAAGCACACACACACTTCTAATCACACCCTTCGGAATCACAACCTTCGGAATCACACCCTCTGATAACCTCTGGCGGAGTCTCTTCCTCCTCCTGCTGCTGTTCGGGGACATCGCACTGGACAGAAGCCACTGAAGCCCCCTTGCGAAGCTTCTTCTCGCTGCTGGGGAACCTGAAGGGCGTGACAAGTTTAGAAAATGCTCAAGAACTGTTCTCTTTATCCACTCCGCTCCCTTGCCTCCCCATCTCCACCCCTCCCCCCTCCTCCCCCCTCCTCCCCACTCCTCCCCAAGTCATGCGATGCGATGCTCGTGTTGTCTCACCGTGCCTCCCTCACACACGGCCACACCACTCAAACTCACACCCACACACATTCCAACTCTCAAATGACATGGCACCGCTGGCACACACCACCGCTGACACACACCACCCACCACTCCACACCACCGCTGACACACACCACCCACCACTCCACACCACCGCTGACACACACCACCCACCACTCCACACCACCGCTGACACACACCACCCACCACTCCACACCACCGCTGACACACACCACCCACCACTCACGTGTTGGGGTTAGGCATGCCATCCACCGCCTTGCCCTGGCACCCGCGTTTCCCTAACACCACCCACCACTCACAAACCACCCACCACTCACAAACCACCCACCACTCACAAACCACCCACCACTCACAAACCACCCACCACTCACATGGCATCAGTCGTTCCAGGGTTGACCATGCTATCCACCGCCTTGCCCTGGCAGCCGCGCTTTGCAAACATTCACAGCACTCATCACCCACTACTCACACCTCTCACACACCACCCTCCACTCACATGGCCTCAGTCGTGCCGGGGTTGACCATGCCATCCACCACCTTGCCCTGGCAGTCGCGTTGCCCAAACATCACCCAACAATCACATCATCACACTCACCACCCACCACTCACACCACTCACAACACTCACACACCACTCACCACTAACCAACCAACACTCACATGGCGTCAGTTGTGCCCGGGTTGACCATGCTATCCACCACCTTGCCCTGGCAGCCGCGTTTCCCAAAAAACTTGACCTGTGAGCACGCGACACCTGTCGCCTCGCCACCCGAACCCACGCTGCTCGAGCCCCCACGGCCGTTCCACCACACTTTCACGCTCTTCCGCCCCGCCTTCTTGCCAACGCTCATGCAGCGCTGCTTGCTGAAGCTCAACCGCGCCGCACCCAGCAACACCGTTGTGGTAACGCCACTGGTCTCTTGCGCAACCCTCGCATTGACCCTCCTGCTGGCTGTTTCCACCATCATGTTGTCTGCAACCTTCTCTTCCCCATCCCCGTACACTGTGGGGGTCTCTTGCACAATCCTTGTTATAACCTTCCTGCTCGCTGTTTCCTCCACCGTGCTGTCTGCAACCTTCTCTTCCCCATCCTCGTACGCTGCGGGGGTTTCGAGCGCAATCCTGGGATTGACCTTCCTGCTGGCTGTTTCAGTCACTGTGTTGTCTCCATACGCTGCCTTTGTTGAATAGACTGCTGCAGAGGACAAGGGGGAGGGTGTGCAGAGAAGAGGCGAGAGAGCCGATGTGAGAGAGCAAAGAGGGGGAGAATAGAGAATAGAGACGAAAGTATAGAGGAGGCGGAAGGTGGATTCGGAAGCAGGAAGAAGGAGCAGGGCATGAATGAAAGGTCTCAGCAGCAATGAGGGATTAGAGACGAAATTATACAGGAGGTGGAAGCAGGATCCGGTAGCAGGAAGGAGGGAACAGGACGAACGGCATGAATGAAAGAGCTGCGAGTGAAGGCACGGGGCCGGCAGTCGAAGGCAAAGGCAAGGGCGAATGAAGGCAAGGGCAAGGGCGAATGAAGGCAAGGGCAAGGGCGAATGAAGGCAAGGGCAAGGGCGAATGAAGGCAAGGGCAAGGGCGAATGAAGGCAAGGGCAAGGGCGAATGAAGGCAAGGGCAAGGGCGAATGAAGGCAAGGTCGAATGAAGGCAAGGTCGAATGAAGGCAAGGTCGAATGAAGGCAAGGTCGAATGAAGGCAAGGTCGAATGAAAGCAAGGGCAAAAGAAGGCAAGGTCGAATGAAGGCAAGGGCTAATGAAGGCAAGGGCAAGGGCGAATGAAGGCAAGGGCAAGAGCCCATCAAGGCAAGGGCAAGAGCCCATCAAGGCAAGGGGCTGGCAGCAGTAGAAGCGTTTGAGTGGAGATCTGAGATCTCGCAGTAGTGAGAGAAGGAAATGAGAGCAGCATACCACGCAGTTGGCGAAAATGAGAGAGCAGCGGACTGACCGGCGATGAAGGCAAGGGCAAGAGCCCATCAAGGCCTTTGACTTGTAATCTAATCTGAGATATCGCAGCAGTGAGATAAGCCAATGAGAGTGCAGCGGACTGACCGGCGATGAGGGCAAGGGCGAGCAGCAGGAGGCCGGCAGGAGAGGCGCGCATCGACCCCATGATGATGACGGCGGGGGTCCCGCCAGAGAGGCCGCGGAAGAGGTGGCGGAAGAGGTGGCGGAAGAGGTGGCGGAAGAGGTGGCGGAAGAGGTGGCGGAAGAGGCAGCGGAAGAGGTGGCGGAAGAGGCAGCGGAAGAGGTGGCGGAAGAGGTGGCGGAAGAGGCGGCGGAAGAGGCTTGAGAATCACGCCGGAGAATGACGGAGTGTGATGGTACGGTGTAGAGTGTGGAGTGTACGTAAGGTGGTTAGAATGACGGATAGTCCAACGCAATGATAGTCCAACGCAAGGACAGAACTGTAAGGAGAATGGCAGGCTTGCTTCGATTTGTGCTGTAAACTATGTTGCGAGTTACGACCATGAGCCAAGCTTAGTAATAGCTGCCGCGCCATGGCGATTCCTACGAACGCAATGCGTGCTTGGCTTGAGTGAGTCGCTGGAAACGGATTTATTTGGAGTGTTAGGAACGCGGTATGTGCTTGACTTGCGCGTGAGTCGCGGGGACGAGCCAATCTGAACTTAGGAACGCGGTACGAGCGACGGGGTCGCTTGATATGGACGTAATGGGAGAGCATTTGCGAACCAGTGACGAAACGCAGAGGCTCCAGCAAGGCCTTCTCAAATTGTGGTTCCAATCATTTTCGGTATGTGGATAATACAGGCGAGAAACTTTGGGAACCAGCAGTTGCATTATACTGGCGACGAGTGGTGTGCGACTAACCATTAGTCGCACTAGGTCGCACTATAATCTGTGGTTCGTCGCACTGGATAGTGTAGGCAGAAACATGAATGGTGGTAGATTCCAAACCAAAATAACATTTGAGTGACTTGATTGGATTCTTCCGCCGCACCCCCGTAGATCCTTAGTTCGAATCCACAAGCCAATCAGTACGAACTGTTCCACGAATCTTTCCCCATCCCCACCCCAACCACAGACATCCCTTTTCCCTATGTGTTGCTCCACTCACGAAGAAGCACATGAGTAGATTTGTGTTTGACTGCTGCTTGTTGGAAAAACGCGTTCAAAATTTGAACTTGACGAGCAGACCGTATTCGGGAAAAAAAAACAAGAGGCAACGAAACCGTCTTAGGGTTGCGATCATTTTGTATAAATAAATTATTTTGTTCAGGTTATATTACTTAGTATTGATCCCATTTTGCATTATTTTCCTTTCTAGGTAAACTCTCTATACCGAGTGCGAAACTCAGAGACTTGCAAAACGCTTCCTTAGGGCTCAAACCTCATACCATTAGATTCCTACTCCTAGTTCAATCGTCTGAGCTGATATTGGAAATGAAGCAAAAAGCATATATGTAAATTTACAAAGACATTGCCCCTAGCAGGATTCAAACTCATGTTCACGACTGATCACAACTTCGAAACCACTGCACTAAACAACATGACAATATCCATTGTCGTGTTTTATCAGTTGTGTTTGAAAACTATCAATCTCTAGGGTTTCGTGAAATTTATTTTCTCTCGCTTCTCTTCCAACCACATACTCCTTCTACTCCCGCCACTCACGCCAGTCCAGCGCTTTAGGTAAGCACTAGTATCTCTATTCTCTCTATTACATCCATTCCTCCTATCTCCTTCGGTTATGCTACGGTATCTCTTTATCGATCCTCCCTCCCATATTCGTCTCCGTTCTTCGATTTCCGTTTTTTATCTTCTCATAAACGTCGTTCTGCTGGTGCAAGTCGCGCTGGCGTCTTTTTTAATGGTGCCAGACGGGCTAGACGCGATTGTGAGAATCAACAGGAATGAAGAAAGGATGTGAGAATGATTGCACTAGCAAGCAGTTGAGTACATATAGGAAACCCTAGATTGGGTTGTACTCACTATTGAGTACCCCACTGCAGGCTAGACAAATATAACATTCTGACAGCGATCGCGTCATGCTTAGCGTCATGTGCGTTATCCATTTACATATTCGGTTTTCTGATTTTCATGTTCCGTTTCTTGTTTCTCTCTAATCTCTTCTCTTCTTCTTTCAGTCCTCTATCTCTTCCTTATTTTCCATTTTCCGATTCACATCCTCTTATTCTAGTCATTTACTTCTTATTCTTAGTTAGCCCTCCCTCACCTACTTCCTCTCGTTCTGCTGACGGGCTACGAGACTTTCGCTAGGTAAGCTCCTAACTTGCAACTTAAACTCGTTCGATCCGTATGTTTGTTAGGTCGACTTGATTCTAACCTAGGACGACTTAGATCTAAACTAGGTCGGCTTAGAACTTGTTTTAACACATGTTTTTTTTTCGAAACCGTAGTTTATTGAACGCTCTCTCTATCTCTCGTTCATTCTCTCTCGTTCTCTCTCTCGTTCTCTCTCTCTCTCTCTCTCTCTCTCTCTCTCTCTCTCTCTCTCTCTCTCTCTCTCTCTCTCTCTCTCTCTCTCGTTTTTCTCTCTCGTTCTCTGTCTCTCGTTCTCTCTCTCTTTCGTTCTCTCGTTCTCTTTCTCTCGTTCTCTCTGTCTCTTGTTCTCTCTCTCTCTCTCTCTCTCTCTCGTTCTCTCTCTCGCGTTCTCTTTCTCGTTCTCTCCCTCTCGTTCTCTCTCTCGTTTGTTCTCTCTCTCTCTCTCTCTCTCTCTCTCTCTCTCTCTCTCTCTCTCTCTCTCTCTCTCTCTCTCTCTCTCTCTCTCTCTCTCTCTCTCTCTCTCTCGTTCTCTCTCTCTCGTTCCCTCTCTCTCGTTCTCTCTCTCTTTTGTTCTCTCTCTCTCGTTCTCTCTCTCTCTAGTTCTCTCCCTCTCTCGTTCTCTCTCTCTCGTTCATTCTCTCTCTCTCTCTTTCTCTCTCTATAGTTCTCTCCCTCTCTCGTTCTCTCTCTCGTTCGTTCTCTCTTGTTAATCCTCTCTCTCTCGTCCTCTCTCTCACGCTCTCGCTCTCGCTCTCCGTTGTTCTCGCTCTCCGTGTTTCGTTATATTCTCTTCTTTCGTTTACTGTCTCGTTATGCGTTATTCCCTCTGTTCCCGTTCCTTACTTTTGTTTTATGCCTTGGTACGTTCTTCTCATTGCTATTTGTCAGCACTAACCCTTCAATACTCACGGTGTTTTTCTTAGTCCTTGTATTGTTTCATTCGTTTCTGTTAGAATCCTAGGCAAAGTTGTATTGCAATGTCGAGAGGTTTGGTACAAGAATGAAACCTAAGGGGTTGTACCCCACAGTGAGTATCCCACTAAAGCCTATCTAAACAACAACATATACACATATGTTTGACACACCCCCATAGGCAAAGTGGGGGAGAACAGAGGGTCACAAGGCCAGGCAGGAAGTGCAAAGCAAGCTCAGGGTGGATCACAACGTCACCACGCAGTCTGAGCACAAGCAAGAAGGCCACAAGGCCAGTTCACATGCAGAGATATATATGTAACAACAACAGTACAGTGATATCTACCTACAAGAACAAGCATGCAGGAATACATATAAATCATGGTACAAACAAAGCCTACAGCAAGTGAGGAAGCGTGGGCACAAGGCCTAACAAAGTGCAGAAACGCTGATGATCACCAGGCGGAAGCGCCTTGGTGAATATATCAGCAGTGTTGGCCCGAGTGGCCACGTAGGTAAGACGAAGCTGGCCACGCTGCTGCAGCTCTCGAGCAAGAAAGTAACGGAGAGCGATGTGCTTTGTTCTGTGCTCCAGTCTGTGCTCCTGACACAAGCCAGTGGCGGCCTTGTTGTCAACGTACAGAACTGGAGGAGAACGAGGCCGCTCTCCCAAGTCGGTCAGCAGGTAGGTGAGCCAGCGCAGCTCCTGTGCAGCCATGGCTGTGGCGTAGATCTCTGCCTCACAGCTGGAGCCGAGATCTGAAGACGAACGTGTAGAACGCCAGGAAACTGAACCAGAACCAAGGCTGAAGGTGTAACCCTGTGACGACCGCTGCGTAGCCTGGTCGTCAACCCAAGAGGCGTCCGAGTGACCAGTGAGGACAACGTCACCCCGTCCTCCAAGCACGAGCCCCATGCCCGATGTACTGCACAAGTAGCGTAGTACCCTCTTGGCAGCATCCATGTGCACCTTTCGGTGCCGACCAGGAGCCACGTAGCAAGCCAAAAGGCCAAGAGGGTACGCAAGGTCAGGACGAGTGCAAGTCATCAGGTACATGAGGCAGCCCACTAACTCTGGGTAAGGACCACTCGGCTCTACGGACTCGTCCGAAGGTGGAGCTGAGAGCGAGTGACCTGTAGCCAGAGGAGTGGCCTGTGCTGAGGACCAGGTGAAACCGAAGCGCTGAAGGACCTGCTGCACCATGTGTGACTGAGTCAGTGTGATGGTGCGGCGTGCTTTGTCCCGGGTGATCTGCAAGCCAAGGTAGCTGCGCAGTTCACCCAGGTCTGTGCACGTGTGTCTCTTCTGCAGCTCCGACTTCACCAGGGCGAGAGCCTCAGTGTCAGCAGTGGCAAAGACCAAGTCGTCGACGTACACGAGAACGCAGAACGGCGGCAGCGAAGTGTCGGTGCGCAAAAACAGCGACGGGTCAGCAGTCGACGGAGCAAACCCAAGAGCCGCAAGTGTCGTCCTCAGTGTGTCGTGCCACTCACGTGGAGCCTGGCGGAGACCGTAGACCGGCCGCCGGAGGCTCCACTGGGTACCAGGAGGGAACGACCCAGTGAAGCCAGGAGGGCGGCGCAGCCAGATCTCCTCGTGCAGGCTGCCCTGTAAGAAAGCTGTGCTGAAGTCAAGAGAGTGAAGCTCGTAGTCACGCTGAGCGGCAACGTGCAGCAGCACCCGAAGAGTGGTCATCTTCGGGGTGGGGGAGAAGGTCTGGAAGAAGTCAACTCCCTCTCGCTGACTGAAGCCTCGAGCCACGTAACGAGCCTTGAAGACAGGCGGAGAACCTGGCGGCCGCTTCACCCTGAAAATCCACATGCCACTGACAATGTTTGCCCCAGGAGGGGGAACCTCGTCGACTTAGGTGCCTGTGGACTTCCAGGATGCCATCTCTGCGTCCATGGCTGTCTGCCACTGAGAGGAGTACTCACCCGCGATTGCCTCAGCGTAAGAGCGCGGGGTAGGGATGTCTGGTGCATCCGGGTCTCCCTCAGGGGCAAGCAGCATGGCCACGAGATGAGGCGCAGCGGCTGCAAGACACTCAAGGTCCTCCTGCCTGTCCTCAAGGACGTCCGTGCTAAGAGCACACTCACCCCCGACGGACGGAGGACAGATAGACTCAGACTCAG